TTGTAGAGAGAAACAAGCCCTATGACATAGGATACAACATTTTAATGAACAGTGCTTTCCATAAAATCAATAAAATGAAAAATATACGAAATAATATACATGTACTAATTTCTTTCGAAAATCGACAACTATGAAATTATGAACTCTTCCCGGACACAAATGGTACATTGTGAGACAGGAAATTGTAGAGAGAAACAAGCCATATGACATAGGATACAACATTTTAATGAACAGTGCTTTCCATAAAATCAATAAAATGAAAAATATACGAAATAATATACATGTACTAATTTCTTTCGAAAATCGACAACTATGAAATTATGAACTCTTCCCGGACACAAATGGTACATTGTGAGACAGGAAATTGTAGAGAGAAACAAGCCATATGACATAGGATACAACATTTTAATGAACAGTGCTTTCCATAAAATCAATAAAATGAAAAATATACGAAATAATATACATGTACTAATTTCTTTCGAAAATCGACAACTATGAAATTATGAACTCTTCCCGGACACAAATGGTACATTGTGAGACAGGAAATTGTAGAGAGAAACAAGCCATATGACATAGGATACAACATTTTAATGAACAGTGCTTTCCATAAAATCAATAAAATGAAAAATATACGAAATAATATACATGTACTAATTTCTTTCGAAAATCGACAACTATGAAATTATGAACTCTTCCCGGACACAAATGGTACATTGTGAGACAGGAAATTGTAGAGAGAAACAAGCCATATGACATAGGATACAACATTTTAATGAACAGTGCTTTCCATAAAATCAATAAAATGAAAAATATACGAAATAATATACATGTACTAATTTCTTTCGAAAATCGACAACTATGAAGCTATGAACTCTTCCGGACACAAATGGTACATTGTGAGACAGGAAATTGTAGAGAGAAACAAGCCATATGACATAGGATACAACATTTTAATGAACAGTGCTTTCCATAAAATCAATAAAATGAAAAATATACGAAATAATATACATGTACTAATTTCTTTCGAAAATCGACAACTATGAAATTATGAACTCTTCCCGGACACAAATGGTACATTGTGAGACAGGAAATTGTAGAGAGAAACAAGCCATATGACATAGGATACAACATTTTAATGAACAGTGCTTTCCATAAAATCAATAAAATGAAAAATATACGAAATAATATACATGTACTAATTTCTTTCGAAAATCGACAACTATGAAATTATGAACTCTTCCCGGACACAAATGGTACATTGTGAGACAGGAAATTGTAGAGAGAAACAAGCCATATGACATAGGATACAACATTTTAATGAACAGTGCTTTCCATAAAATGAAAAATATACGAAATAATATACATGTACTAATTTCTTTCGAAAATCGACAACTATGAAATTATGAACCCTTCTCGGACACAAACGGTACATTGTGAGACAGGAAATTGTAGAGAGAAACAAGCCATATGACATAGGATACAACATTTTAATGAACAGTGCTTTCCATAAAATCAATAAAATAAAAAATATACGAAATAATATACATGTACTAATTTCTTTCGAAAATCGACAACTATCAAATTATGAACTCTTCCCGGACACAAATGGTACATTGTGAGACAGGAAATTGTAGAGAGAAACAAGCCATATGACATAGGATACAACATTTTAATGAACAGTGCTTTCCATAAAATCAATAAAATGAAAAAATATACGAAATAATATACATGTACTAATTTCTTTCGAAAATCGACAACTATGAAATTATGAACCCTTCCCGGACACAAACGGTACATTGTGAGACAGGAAATTGTAGAGAGAAACAAGCCATATGACATAGGATACAACATTTTAATGAACAGTGCTTTCCATAAAATCAATAAAATGAAAAATATACGAAATAATATACATGTACTAATTTCTTTCGAAAATCGACAACTATGAAATTATGAACCCTTCCCGGACACAAACGGTACATTGTGAGACAGGAAATTGTAGAGAGAAACAAGCCATATGACATAGGATACAACATTTTAATGAACAGTGCTTTCCATAAAATCATATCTTTAATTTCCTTCTTTATTTGTGTAAAAATACCTAGCCACTTTTACATAAAACGTTAAATGCCGAACGCTTATTTTGCTACTTTTTCGGACTGGTGAAATGGGCTCTTAAGTTATAATTTGTACAGTAGCTTTTAATACTTGTGCTTCTGTATTAACTTCTGTATTAACTCTATCGCAATCTTTAATCACACTACATTCTGACGCGAATCGATCATTTCGACGTGTTGTTTGCTCGTCAGAACGAGTAAAAATATCTAATAAATAATATCCCTAGGCGTAATTATGCTGCGAACTGTCAAAGCCACAGGCCACGCGCTGTAAATTACTCGACCAGATAAGCCGCTACCGCTATATCGTGCCAAAGGAGATGAATGTGTAAACGCCGGATAATGTTATTGTCTAACGAGTTTAATGGCCGACGATATTTAACATCCACTTTTATTAAAACATATTTTGCAATGGGAAGTAAAGCACCATTGCATGGCAACATGGTATTTGCAGGCAAGAAGAAGCTTTGGAAAATTTAATAATATCCATCTTTGATTTTTTATTTTTAATGTTCATTAAATCAAAATTCAAGTTTAAAAAAATGTATTGGCATCTTGGGGAAATTCAGCGTTATCAATACATAATAAATTATTAGAGGAAAAGGGGGTATTTTGGAATACTGTTGGTAATTTGGAATATTCATTTATTGAATTGAGTAAAAAAATCCATTTAAATTACTTTAAAAACTTTCGTATGGCATACATGATATGTAGATCTAAGGTAGGTTATTTATTTTATTCAAAATAATCATCATTTAATTTTTTTGCAAAAAATAAAATTAATCTTAAGTTTTACCGGATTTTATTATCCTGGGCCACAATAAGCTTTATTCTTTGTCAATGTAATAGAATAAAATAAAGAATACCAGAAAAATAAAAAAATAAAAACGTGTATTATTCTTACCCTTCTCACTGTCTGAGCTTTGCTAGGGAAAAGCTCTGATTAGTGTCACGGTATCTCATAAGGCTAGATTCACGTTTGATTAAGCCATTTTTTCCTTTGCGCTTTCCTGGATTCTGGAAATTGGAGGAGGGTGGAAATAACAGAGAAAGAAGAAAATCAAGCGATGTCGATATAGAGCTATTGTCAAAAAAAGAATGAAACCAATTTTATTATTAATTATTACATTTTAAAATATGAAGCTTTGTTAGGAGAAATTGATGTCGATGTTCTTTTGAACGATTATTTATTTACGTCACAATATCAAAGTTAACTCGATATTATTCCATAATCTTTGTTTTTTTGTCAATAAGACTCTATAGTGATTTTTGAATGCAAAACAGAAATTAAATAATCGAGTACTATTATTTTGAAAAAAATCAAGAAAGGTACTCGTTTGGCCGAGATATTACGATAATCTATACAGCTGAGTCTTAAATAAGTGCAAATATTTTTAGGGCTGATAGATCTCGATAAAAGAAACAAATTTTTATTCTAAATATATAAATTTAATTATATAAATATAGAAGTAACTAACAAAATTAAAACATTCTTTAGAAGGAAGATGCCAGGCCATCCAAATAACGCAAATTGAAAACGTATGCGGCAAATTTGCCACAAAGGGATATTTGTATGCGGCGCTTTCCCATCAGGGCAGTCAATCTGACTTGAATAGAACTTTCACTTCCTCTTTCCACTTGGAGATACTCTCCATTTTAAGCGTTCGTGGAAGTGAAAGGTTACAGCTATAGGGTCATTGAATTATACGGTTTTGGTCCTGTATTGACTTCCCTTTGTCTTTATTGACTTCAATTTGCTATCAAATGGAAAATATTTAGTTAGAAAATATACAGGGTGTTGAAATTAAACAAGTTATTGCCGTTTAAAGCTAGTAATTAGACACGCTGTATAAGGTAGTATTATTTTTATGGTTGCAACACAAAATTCAGTAAATAGTCAAACTTCAGTACAATATTTTGTTGTAAAAACTTCCCTCTTTTTTAAAAACTTAAATACGCCCAGAGTTTGGAGTTTAAACTCAATGAGTTGAGTATAGAGCATTTTAAAATCAAAATATCATAATTTACAATCATGGATAATTCAATTCATTATGTTAAATAAAAATAACTTTTTTTGATTACAATAAACAAAAAAGGAAACCAGAAAATATTTTAAAAAAGACCCAAAATTCTTTCTTTCAATAACAAAAAAATGGCGCCGCGCCGGGAGGCACGTCTAGCCGCCCATACCAAAGTATGTTGATAAAAAGTTGGTAGGCAGTTCTTTTAGTTTCAAAGTAAAGGAATTTTTCCAATTTTTTTTATCTCAAAAACTTGCACTTTGACTGATTTTGATGTTTTTTGCAAATATTATTCCTAATCTTAAATTGAAAACCCCGTTTCGGTAGCTACTGTAATTTTGGAGATACGATTTATTAAAATTTTTAACCCCCTCCCATACCCCTTACCAACCCCTAAGCCCCACCAAAAACTAATGGCCAGATTCTCGGGTGCCATAGTATTTTTGTGCCAAATTTGGTTAAAAACGGTTTAGCGGTTTTTGAGTTATCGTGTTACAGACAGACGGACAGACGGACAGGCGGAGAGACGGACAGACGGACAGACGGACAGACGGACAGACGGACAGACGGACAGACGGACAGACGGACAGACGGACACCATGAAAATGGTCGGCTAAAAATAAGGGCTTTGTTTAAAGTAATTTTTGTTTGGATAAAGTTTACTGAATATAATATTTAAATAGTTTTGGTTTGGATCAAGAATCCTTATCTACCTATAGGATTCTACAGGGTGTTCGAAAATATACGCTTAAGTTTCAGGGAGTGGTTCCGTTAACAAAAAATATGAACAAAATAAAATAAGGTACCAACAGATCTTTGAAATAATAGAGAACAAGAAAAATACTGGAATAATACTCAAACTTACCCAAATCTGTTTCTAATTCTTCCTGAGCTATGACGTACCATATGCAGGCCAACCAGTGAGCTACCAGAGTGAACGAGAGCATGAGCAACGTCAGAATCATGGCGCTGTACTGCGAGTACCTGTCGATTTTCTGTAACAGCCTTAGTAGCCTTAACAACCTGGTGAGTTTGATGAGATGAGTATGCGAGGGACCAGACTGCTAACAAAAATTGCATTAAAGTAAAACTTGTTATTATCTGTATTTCCTTCTTAAATTATTTATACATATTGTTTAGTATTTTCTTCATGTATTTCCAGATATATAAAATTTGCACAAAATTAATTATACATAATTGACAAAAATAAAGAAAAAAAATACACAAAATCACAAAAATTCAAATTTTTGTAATTTTGCTGCGCTCTTTAAAATTTACGGTTATGATTTTTTTAGCAATTTGTAACTAGATCACTTGACTTACTATTATATTTTAATTGAAAAAATGGAACACCCAGTATAATATTTTGATATTCAATGAGGAATTTATGTCTCTTCAAAATACTGATAAGATTGTCTACCCCTCAAACAAAGATTTTCCTAGATATTTTTATTTTTACGATTTAGTGTCATCAGTAGATCTTTATTATTTGATAAAATCTAGGTGGCTGTGATATGTTTGACGTTACTTCAACCTAGCTGTCTAATTATAGTCAAACTTTAACAACTAGTTATCATTTTGTGTCAGTTAAAACAAAAAAAATCAGAAATTTGCGGAAAATGAAAACTTATCCTACATCAGAGAGAATTGATATGATTCTATTGTAACGAAAATATTTTCGTTATATTTTTCCTTTTATATCGTTTATTCGTTTTTTTTATATATTATCGATTTTTTGCGGAACCTCGATAGTGGTACACATCACTAGCGATGGTTGTTAGTTTAAATTGTTTAAATATTTTATATATTTTCTGGTTGCCTATGGGTTACCGATAATAATTTGTTTATTTTTAATGAAAACGAAGGTTTATTATTAATATTTTGTTTAGTGTTAAATAATTAAGATGCAATTATTACACACATTTTTTTGAAGGTATGTAGAAAATTTTATCGTATGTATTATTTTTACTATTAATTATAAATTTTTTATATTGACATTTGGTACTTAACGCATGTCTAAATGAATGGGAGAATTCTATAAAGGGACTTGTTTTGCCGAAAATCACTCTCTCTCATCTCGATCTTCTTTGCTTAAACACCTAGTTTTTTTTCCAGACACCGGCACGAGGTACGACTTGGAAATTATTTATTAGTTTTATTTTTTTAAACATTTCTTACTATCTAATATGATTTAATTATTTGATTTAATTATTTAATTAGCTTGTAACATTAAATTCCTTTTTCTATTTTATCTTTTTGTCTCACAGTTCAATTTTTTTATCATCATTTCTTTATCTTCTTATCTTAGTAGCACGTGTATGGTAGTTTTGTAAAAAATTTTCTAATACCTTTAACTTTTATTTAGTACTAATTATTTTTATCTTTCTTATTTATGTACTGAGACGCAAGCTGTCGAACAGGAACCCTCAGAGGTGTTCGATTTAGCAATCTCAGGGGCCATGAATAGAATCAATCACTGCAGGAGTACTCTCAGAGACGAACCAGGAGGGACTCTGGTAAGGATTTTTTTAATAATATTTATATTATACGACTTATGTCACCTTTAACGAATCCTTGCTTGCCAGAAGGCAACTCTTGTTTTATCTGGACCCTGTAGTGGTGGTGTCTATTGGCAGGCCATTCGACAGATAGATTTTTGTTTTTTGTTGTTTTTGGATCACACTAGGGAACGTATCTTTACCTCGTATCTGCCAAATTTACCTTATCTTATCTTTATCTTATTTGGCGGATGCATTATCTTTGTTCCTGGAGTGACATATCTTTTCTTTTAGTTTTTATCTGTCGAATTGCCGCATTTATCGTTTTTCGTATCTTATCCTATCTTTCTATTTACCTTTATCTTTCTATCTAGTTTTTTAATTTATCTTTTAATATCGCATTTTAGTATTAACTTTTGTTCTAATTTAAATTTTCATATATTTCTAGTTTTTTTATCTTACATATTTTTTTATTCTTTTTACACGTGTCTACAAATTAAATCAAATAATTTACTGTAACAATATATGTTTTTTTCAAGTCGTACCGAAGTGATTGTGGTGGTATGGAATTTTCTAGAGAGAGAGAGCAAAATATTTTTCTTTTATATTTTTTTATAATTCTATATTTATATTCTTTATATTCTTTAAATAATTTGGACAATCTTTTCAATTATAACTTAATTTAAACTGTCATTGCCTATTTTCTTTTTTAAATTTTAATTATAATTTTTATTATAATAATTAGTAGTTGGATTTAGATAATGATTATTGTTTATTTGAATCACTAATATGTTGTTTAATCATAAGTTATTTTTATTATACCTTCATTGGCAACCAACAGACAGTTCAATTGGTAATTTAGAACACCACCACAAAACTGGGTACTTATCAATTGTGTTGGGTAGAATACTGCTGTTTGTTATCTTCTAGGAAGATACGAGAATTGACCCTCCCCATAAGTAGCTCACGCACTGAGACTGGTGGAGTCTCACAAGCTCTCCAACGTTAGCCGGACAATCACGCAACCCACCAGCGGACGAGTGCAGCGAAGAGGGTGAGGCCTTTCTCCCAACCAACCGAAGCAGAAACACTTAAGTATTCCAGTTGCATATCTAATCTCATATAATCGAGACTGTCACAGCCAATTACATTGATTGTTTATAATTGTTAATTAAATATAAGTCATTAATGAAATTTTCTATTGTCTTATTTAATTCCAAAGCATACTTCCACAAACCAGTAACTTTGAGAATTTTGTGGGTTATACATTACAAAAAACATAACTTTGATGTGTAACTTTTTTGGGAACACCCTGTGTAACTCCATATATTTTTATAAAATGCTTTAAATTAACCTACGTATGCTCCCAAAATTTCATTTCTTTTTTCATTTCTCCCAAAATTTCATTCCTTTTTTCATTTCTTTCTTGGAGCCTCAGCGTCGTATGAGAGGTGCCACCCTGTATGTCCGCTTACCTATGTATAATATGCATATAAAAATAAAATTTGTTTTACTTTTTAGTCTTTTCAGTCTATAATTGTAATAAAACCCTTCTACAGCAATAAATATCACCAAAGAACGTTTTATATTTTAATTTGGACCAAATAAAAATAAAATTTCTCCAATAAAGCTAGTAGCAGAGTTTGTGGCGAGCAGTTTACGATCATATTTATGAGTCTGTATACATAACGTAGATATTTACGTCTATCCCTTGTATATGGATAGTTTATGAACGTATACTAAGCAATTCGTATATTAATAATTTTATAAAAGCCAATAAAGATTTTATGGGTCTAATGTTAAATAAAATTATAGTAATATTGGAAAGGATAGATTTTCATATTAAATAAGTAATTTTAATTAAAGAAATTTATATTAAATAATAACAAAGAGTAAACTTTATGTTGTATTCATCGACCTAACAAAAGCCTTCGACTCTGCGAATAAAGTTGTTCTTTGGGCAATTATGAAAAAGTTCGGAGTACCTAACAAATTTCTTACAGTGTGTAAAAGCCTCCATAACAACAAGTCAAGAGTGTCACATCATGGATCACTGAGCGATCTCTTTCTAACAAATACAGGAGTTACGCAGGGATGTGTCTTAGCGCCTCTCCTATTCAACATATTCATAGCTCTCCATTATAGTGGACAGCAAATTGCAGGAAAGAGCTTTGGGCATTAGACACAGATACGGACGGCGGTTTGTTCAACATAAAAAGACTCAGGGCAAAAACACATATAAAATTCATCACAGAACTTCAATACGCTGAAAGCATACAAGAAATGTTGAACACATATACCTGGGCATAAAAGAGATAACATCACGTATCGGACTTTTTAGTCACAGAAAAGCTCATGAAAGAAAACGCCTTGCGTGACCATCTTCTGATGCGTGTCAAATACTCGTCAGCGAGTAATGGCAGCATGTATGTATGTATTAAATAATAATAAAAAGTAAACTTTATGTTGCAATCATTGACATGATAAAAATATCATTTTTACCAATTATTTCTAAAATAGAAAAGTACTCTCACTTCAAAAATTGTTGCCAGCTGTCCAGAAAATATAATATTATCCTTTTTTTCGTCTAGAATCTCTATTTTTGCGAGGAGAAACATGAAAGGCGCAATTTTCGAATCGTTCTTAACAATTTTCGCGTTTTGTAGCTTTGAAATTTCAATAAACTCGTACTCTGTACCACACAATTTTCCTCCACTTAACTTCCCTGTGCTGGAAAAGCAGTTTTCTGAAAAGCGTCCATTTTTAACCAGTTATGAGTAATGGAGAAAATAATTGTTTGTTTCATTCATTGCATTTTTTCTTGGTTCTTATCATATTCTTATTAAAACGGTATTTTTTCGAATCTTTCATATATCAACTTTTGAGATTTTCAGATAAAAAATAGCTATTTATGTAACAAGTTGCGAGCTATTATTGTATATTAATATATTGATATTGTAGTCAATCTACACAAATATTATCAAAAACTTTTTTTCTTTTAAAATGTGTTCAGATTTTGTAAAAAGTATAAGTCAAAATCGCAAAACTTAAATTTGGTATGAGTTTCTTAGTTTTTTACTAATATAGTGGCGAATTACAAAAATTCCTTTTCAATGAAAATTAATGAGTTAAATAAAATGATTTAATAAATTACTAGCTTTTTCTCGCGACTACGTTCGCGTTACACCTCGAATCGTTCATGCATTGATTTAAATGATTTTTTACTTCTTTATAGAGAGCTAGTGAGCATAGATGTTTTTTATTTTTCATTTTTTTTATTTATTAAGAGCACTAATACTCTCTTTATAGGTTATTTTTTATTCTTTGAAGGATAATTGAGGAAGATATATTTCGTTATGATGTCACTAAATAAACCCTTGTATAACATTTTATACTGTCTGGTTTATAATGTTATAGTATTGCATTTTCGTAGAGCAAACTTTCATTCTCTATTCTACTCCCTAAGGGTATAAATTTCATAAATTCGCTTTACCTTTGTGCCAATTTTTATGTGTATAATCCAGAGGTCACCAAGTTTTATATAAATTTTTACTAACTTTACCCATTTGGTTGATGAATTTCAGAAATTTCTTCTAATTCTTTTTGTAGGATTTCATTCTTCTAGACCAAATAGTAAGGAATTTTCATACAATAAACTGTTCCGAGATAATTTTACTCTCTAAGAGGATGAATTTCCTAAAATCGCTTTGTGTAGCTAATTCACTAATGTCGTTTAAACGAACCTTTGTGCTAATATTTATGTATGTAAAGCTGGCGGCATGAACTCACTCTAAAATATCTAAAAACGTTATATATAATCTAACTGACACACCACTGACAATGACAAATAATTTATTTCTGGAGGTATTGTGTGTAGGTGTTTTTCAGGTATGTTTTAGTATTTAGTCGTTTTATACAAAGAAATAGCCATTAAGCACTATAAAAATACTTCATAACAAATCTACACATATATACTTTTCATTTAAAAAAAGAATCATCAAGATTGGTAAAGCGGTTTCGGCGGGATGGATGCAACAAAAAAACCCTTTGAGCTTTTATATATGTATGGATTAATTATTTTTCCAACATATTTTACTTTGCAAATTTTTATAAATAGTCAGACTCGCCAATATCGTACTCCGTGTCCAGCCTGTTTAGCCAAACGTAGGCCGATTCCTCTTCGACGGCGTCGTGACCCTGGCCGAAGGAAGAGTCTTGAAGACGCTCATCCGCGCATAGGAATAAGTTGACTGCGTAGCGTATTGCGTATTAATCGATTCTGAAATTTTCTATCTCGTGTATAACATGTTCGCAAGTTTATTATTTTAATCTCGATTTTAATAGATAAATGTGTGAAATGCCACCTGAATATCTTCCGCCATGACATGTTTTTACTTTTTGTTATGGTAAAGTGATTTGTATAAACTTTATTCAATAACGTATATTTTCCTCCATTTGTGATTTTTAATTTTAAGCGAAAATTAAGTATAACATTTTAGGAAAAAGAAACACTGTAATATTTAAAAGAATAAGAAGAAATTAGTCTTATTACCAATAAGAAGAAATTAGTCTTATTATCAAACCAAACCAAACCAAACTACTTATCGGATAACAAATTAATTACTACTGTCAGCTAGTTCAGCTACTGTCTAGGTAGAATATACCTAGAGTACCTACACCTACCTATGATGTAGGTAGATTAAAGCTTATTTTGACGTTACCTCTCACTTCGGTGTCACAAGCTGAATTTTTCAGGGATGGAAGTACAGTACATGATATGGGGACCCTTATTCCGAAAGTAGTACAAAATTAGACCGGGTAAAAGGGCACTATCATCAAAAATCGATATATTAATACCACCGTATAGAGAAAACAAATACTTATTTTTTGATCCAGTACACAATAAAGTCTTCGTAGGGAGTAATTTTTTATAATTATTTACAAAAAAACATTTCCATTAGCGCTTATGACCAAAAAAAACTTTAAACATGAATAATCATTTCAATCATGCGAAAATTTGGTTTAAAAATAGATTTTTTTTAATATAACTTTCATTTAACGAAAAACGAAGGCCTAAATGAAAAAAAGAAACAATTTAAAAGTTTCGCTTATGTCTTGACAAGGTATCAAAGCAAACCCCATATTTTTTGCTTTTAAACTAATAAAGATATATCAATAAACAATTAGCGATGTAATGGTTTTTGCGCGCGCTGGCCGACTGCCGCCGCTGCGCCGAGATTTCCTATACCCTTGTATATATGACGTCATGGTGTGGCAAATGTAGCATTTTAAATCGATTTGGGCTCCTTTATATAGGATAACAGAAACATTTTCAATGTTAATATTTCAAGAAAAAAAATAAAAATTTAAATATTCTATATATTTTTACCTCTTCTCCGTAAAGGGCGTAGAGCAAGTCAAAGGGCAGTGCTGCCAGGAAGTCCACCACGAACCACGTCCTCAAATAATTGACAGAAATTGACCTCCAGTCTGACACCACTTCGCCCTTTTTATTTACAAAAGTCGTACGAAAATTTAATAATATATCTGAAACAAAAAGAAAGCATATTTAGTTAGTAAAATTATTAATAAACTATTTCAATATTTCATTTGAAAATAGTTCATAAATTTGAAAATGTTTAGAGTTTTTGATGTATGAGAATTATAGAACATAGAAGTATACGTTTGAAATGTTTGTAATGTATATAATACTGCCAAGGTGGTTTTTGGAGATTAGGGTATTCTAGACTTTGTTAGGAAGTTTAAACTAAAATTAACATCAAATTTCAAAAGTTTTCGTGGTTCAGGCGTTGAGTGAAATATATATTTGTAACTCGTGTATAAAGTTTAGTAAATTTTCTTTTAGTTTCAAAGATTCAATATTTAGTAGTAGTGTAGCATTTTCGTTTTCCAAATGCTACTTTGTTTTGTCGTGGACGGTGTTTTGTTATTGTATCGATGTTCTTTTTACATTCCTACAACACTTAAATTTCGGAACGCTCTCTATCGAAAATATTGGATCGTACCCTTGTGTATCGACAAGACGGGAAACGTCAAAATCGTCACCTCGGATTTGGCCGTTGTCGAGGTCACTGTGCCATTTTGAGAATTAAATTTATTTGGCTGGTATTTTTCACAATATGGGAAAAATATTGTGATTTTGTTATCCTATAGATGGTTGAAGGTCCCATATACATTTTGATTGTTGAGATTTTAATGGATCTATAGTTTTGGTAAGATTTTCTTTGACATTCCATTCGGTAGAAAAAACCTTCACATGCCTTTCTTTTAGATTCCAGTTTTTTGATGAGAAGTATCCAGCCCTTATTTAAGAAGAAATGTTAAATAATTATTGATTGTGTGCCTTCACAATGAGGTTTTTCTACGTATTTTTCTACGTATTTTTCTCAGCGTTTTTCTCAGCATTTTTCCACGTATTTTTCTTCAAGTATTTCTAGATGTTTTTCTGCAAGCTGTTCTGCATAATTTTCTAGAAGTTTGTGCCAAGTTTTTCCACAAGTTTTCTTACGTGTTCAGTCACCGAAGTAATCAGTAGCAGCCTGTTGGGTTAGATTTCAGCCCTGCACCCCTCTGAGAAGAAGTTGGATGCTGTGATGTTTTTTTATCATTAAGAAGATCCTTTTTTAGTATAATTTGGTATACAAGGCCAGTATATTTTTTATAGTAAACTAAAATTTTATTAATTTGATTTTAAATAATCATTAGTGTGTTAAGAAATTAACTATTCTTAGCATTTTACATTTAACTGGTTAAGTACTTGCCTTCAGCATTACTTTAACCTTTAATTTATTAAATTTAACATTCTGTTACATTTTATATATTTTTTTTTAACACTTAAGTATTTGCCTTCAGCATTGCTTAAATTTTACTTGTATTTGATTATTAAAATAATCATGTTATATTGATTGATTATTCAGATTTAACATCTATTTATGTTCTACCTTTTATATTATTACGATCTTTGACCTGTAAGGGCAATCTTGGGTACAGATTTTAATCTTTTTCCCTTTAACTATATATAAACAAAATGGTTCATGAATCTTCGTAATAAGTCAAGTCAAATTTAAATATTTATTATTCGAATATAACAAAGACCGTCTCTAAAAAGTATTCCTTTTATATTATAATAGTTTGAATAATATTTGAAAAGATATAATTTGATTTTAAACAAGTTTTAAGATAGAGTTTCTTAAATATAATTCTTGTATATTAATGTACATAACTGCTGTGCCGAATAAGTACCGAATATTTCTAACAAGTAATAAATGTTATTTTTTTGGGTATTTGAATTGTTTCATTGGTTGATCCGGTCTCTCAAAATATTTAATAGCTATACTAATTTTAGTTTCTATTCAATTAATACACTTGTACAAATTTTCTTATTGCAGTTTGTACTATCCTTTGTAAGTATTAGCATCTTTTTGAAATAAGTGGCGCCCTTTGGTATGCAGTGTAAGGTAAAGGTGGGTATCATTTTTTTGGTCAAGTGCAGAAGCAAAAGCTTGTTCCCACCGCCTCCGATATAAGAGTAGCCGTTCGCAATATTTTGACTTAAATTTTCAATAAAAGGAAAGTTTATGTCATAGTAGTAGAAGTAGTAGTAGAATTAATTCAACTGGTGTCAGTAAATCTGCTTCTCCTATAGTGATTATAGTTAACTCAAAAGGTACAAGGACATTTGCCACGGAAACTTAAAGGGGATTAACATGCAGAATCATTGGGAAGAAGCAGGTCACAATAGAACTCAATGAAGAAGAATTGTAAACTCAGTTAAGAGCGACAAAAACAAAGTAAAGAGGCAACAAAGCAATGAGATTTTTGAATGTCCGGAGTGCGGTAGGCAAATAAAATCACGTATCGGGCTTTTCAGTCACAGAAAAGCTCATGAAAGAAAACGCCTGGCGTGACCATCTGTTGATGCGTGTCGAATACTCGTCGGCGAGTAATGGCGGTATATATAGTTAATTTACATTTTTTAATCTATTTTTTTTCATATTTTTGACGAAAAAGTCTGGCATAACAACTTTCTCCGATGTTTGATACACACCTGAAGACATGGAGGGTTCATTGTACGCCTTCTAGAATTGGAACCAATTTAAAGCAGAACTCAAAAACATGGAGACTACATCTGTAACCTGGAAAGAGAATCCTTCAACGGTCTAAGACACTCGAAGAAATTTATCAGGATTTACAACCGAGAAAAGTCAAAGATATATTTTTTTGGTTTAAGGGTTTTTAACAGGACACTATCTCCTCAATGAACACCTCAGTACTTTGATACTAAGAAACAACGACGAATGTAGATTCTGTGAAGAAAATGAAGAAACATCAGAACACCTTATCACTGAGTGTGCCGAGACGATAACCATTGGTACCATAAACTTTGATACAACTGATATCGGAGATAAAGAACTTCCCTCTATAAAACCGTCTCAGATACTGACTTTTTTCAAAGCCCTGAGAGTGTATGCATACAAGCTGCAAAAATGGGTGTTTAATTTATTCTTTTTAATTTATTTTCTTAATATTTCTTGCCAGGAAAATCGCTAACCAGTTCATTAGGAGATAATTTCGGTATAACAATACTCCTGATGGCATGTTTGATTCACATCTGGCTCTTAAACAAAACAGTTGGAATAAAACTGGGAGATTGGAATATAAAATAAAATTTTACCAAAATTTACTGTCACTGAACGAAAATGGCTTTTTTTTTTAAAAAAAGGACTAGCTGTAACTAACTTAAACCGAGTGGCAAATTGCGAATTTCAATTTTTGTCGAAAATTTACCGCAACGCTTGCTATCGGCGATTTTTGCTGCAAATACGAATTGACATTCATTTACCCGATTTTTCCAAATTATATGCTTTTTCCATGATTTTTTTAAATCGTACGTTACATGTTTTACATAGATACATAGATTATTTATTGTCATATTAAGTTGTACAGGGTGTTTCAAAAAACATGTGCCATCTCTCGTAAAAATAAGACTTATTTTTCATATCAACATAGGTCCGATTCTTCTAAAAAAAAAAGCAATTTAATGCCGATTAAAAGTTGTCTCTTGATATTTTGTCGATTTCGGCTTCCTTGATGAGATAAACACAATTTAAAAATCGAAAAAATCTTAAGACTTTAACACCCTGTAGCTACGAAACAAAGCAGAATCGAACCTATGTATGTTGATATGAAAAATAAATCTTCTTTTTACATGAGGAATTTCCCTACGAAAGATGGCACATGTTTTTTGAAACACCCTGCAGATCAAGGTTTACAAAATGTTTAAAACATAGCAACTCTGTTCCAGATGGCACAGATTAACATCTTCGAAAAAAATTTAAAAAAAAATAATATAAATTTATTTTACAAAAATTCGAATTCATCGTGCATAATAAAATATTTTTTTCAAACGAGTGAATTTTATTTGCGCTTTTTAAAACCGAAATAAACCACGTACAAATGACCAATAATAAACATTATTGGTTGACTGTTCTCCGTGGCATTTCGAATCTGTGGCGGGCATTCGACTGGAAAAATCGCCAAGGACCCAAATCGACCACTTGTGGCTTTGTCGTTTTTTTTCCAGCTGGAAAAGCGCGTGGAAAACATCGTCTCTAGTAGAGAGGGGCAATACAATATCGATATTTTTCTTCTCGTCCGTTGACATCATGTCTCAATTGCTCGGAACGTATCTATATATATTGAGCGGCTATAGAAGCCTCTTGCAGGCCGTGACCAATAATTTCTTTGGGTTGCTCTACCCAGCGCGTCGCAGATCTTCCTCTTTGTCGTTTGCCATTAATCCCTTCGATTATGATTTTTTTCCAGTCCATCTGTTCTTCTCGAAATGTGCCCGAAGTACCTAAGGTATTTACTGGTTTACTTTGGTTGAAAGTCTTGTGTTAACTTTCAACTGCCTTAGAATTGATACCGTTGGTCCGATGTTCTGTTCATGAAATTCGCAGCATTCTTTTGTAGGCCCACATTTCGAAAGCATATATTTTTCGTCTGTTAAAAAATCTAACGATATGTTCAACTGCGTTTTTAGTCTAATCTGACTTTATTATTGTTTGTTAAATTTTATTTAGTAATCATAGGTCATCGTTCTGTCTAGTTGTAGAGTGACAAAGATATTCCTACAAATCCTTATTACTCTTTATTAGGCGCGGTATTGGCGATATGCCCGAAGAAGTTGATATATTTTGAAAAGATTTTGTTTCATTCAAGTTAAACCCATATTTTCCCCCAAAAAAATATAAACAAAAAACAAAATCTAAGTTAAGAAACAAACTGAATATGGATAAATATTTTAGTGCTTTTCCTGCCAAAAAAATATATTAATATGAAAAAAGAGTTGAGAGTTGCTAGAGCTTTCCCATTGAAATGAAATTAATTTTAGATATCATTGATCAAAATTTGTACAAAGGTAAAAAGTGACTGCTATCCCTACTTGTTATAGTTTTTATTAATATATTAATATTGTTTAATTCAATATATTTTTTTTAATATTAAATAATATACCTCTTCAT